TCATTGTAACTTTTAAAATTCTTTTTGAGAAATCCTGCGATACTGAGCATATACACTAAAAAAAGTTCAAAAGGAAATTGTCACGAAAAGGAAGTTGGGGAGCGTTTGGGGAACATCTGTAACGGTCCCCGTTATAATTAGAACTAGTTTTTCTTCTTCTTCTTCCTGGGTACTTTTTTGTCCGGGAATGATCTTGTAAACTGTTCGTCCGATGTAGGTAAAATCTTTTTAGGGTAAGTAGACATGTTATGTAGATTTGCGGAATCAAGGTCATTTTGCGCGCACGTGCTTGCTAGAGCGTGCACGTGCAACACGTAAAATGACCAATATAATAGATAAAGCCGCAACTTTTCTATTTTTTGATGAATTGCTTTGAAACTCATAATAATAATCTTAAAAAAGTCTCAATGTCTTTCTTGTTCTTTGACAAAATCCTTTGAAATTTTAAACATGGTCATACATTATGAAGATCTACAGCCAGATATATAGGAATTATCATAAAAGCATGCGCATGCACATGTGCTGCAATCTGATTGGCTGAAACTTTAAATGCCTATAACTTTCTTGATTCTCAACAGAACGGGATGAAATTTTGAATATGGATAGGTATGATGGATTACTACATTATGCTACTATCAGAATTGAATGCAAGGACACGCATGCATGCACGTGCACGCGCACAATACGCAAAATGACCAATATATTTGAAAAACGGTCACATTTATATTTTTATGATTTTTCTTATTGATTCTCAGGACATAAAGAAATGTTAATGATTTAGACAACATGCCATGATCATCTTGCACGTGCATGAACATGCGTGCGCGTGCAAGGAGTTAAATGACATATAGTCGGTATCATTGTAGCTTTAATAATTCTTATATGAAATCCTTTGATACTGAGCATATTTTAAAAATGTTTTAAAGGAAAATGGCACAAAAACATATATAACACAGTGCCTAACCTCTGATCTCCTTACCAATAGTAAGCGACTCAGAGTAAATGACGTCCAGTCTCTGCATTCGCTGATTTCTAACAAGCAGAGGGAGGATGAAGATCTTGCCCCCTACCTTTTCTGACATATGGTCCCCCTACTGATGTACAATACATGTATAAGGTGACTTCTGACATATGGTCCCCCTACTGATGTACAATACATGTATAAGGTGACTTCCGGTCTTCTTATTGATGTTCAATATAAGGTGTCCTCTGGTCCCCCTTCTGATGTACAATATAAGGTGTCCTCTAGTCCCCCTACTGATGTACAACACATGTATAAGGTGACCTCTGGTCCCCCTACTGATGTACGATATAAGGTGACCTCTGGTCTCTTTATTGATATTCAATATAAGGTGTCCTCTGGTCCCCCTACTGATGTACAATATAAGGTTACCTCTGGACTCCCTACCGATGTTCAATATAAGGTGTCCTCTGGTCCCCCTACTGATGTACAATGAAAGGTGACCTCTGGTCCCCCTACTGATGTACACTGTAAGGTGTCCTCTAGTCTTCTTATTGATGCTCAATATAAAGTGACCTCTAGTCTCCTTATTGATGTTCAATATAAGGTTACCTCTGGTCCCTGTACCGATGTTCAATATTAGGTGACTTCTGGTCCCCATACTGATGTACAATATAACGTGACCTCTGGTCCCCCTACTGATGTACAATAAAAGGTGACCCTGGTCCCCCTACTGATGTACAATACATGTAAAAGGTGACCTCTGGTCTCCTTATTAATGTTTAATATAAGGTGTCCTCTGGTCCCCTACTAGTTAATGTACAATATAAGGTGTCCTCTGGCCCCCCCAAATGATGTACAATATAAGGTAACCTCTGGTCCCCCTACTGATGTTCAATATATGGTGTCCTCTGGTCCCCAAAATGATGTACAATATAAGGTGCCCTCAGGTCCCCCTTATGATGTGCAATTAAAGGTTACCCTTGGCTCCCTATTAATTTAAAATGAAAGTGACCTTTGATCCCTCTAATAATGTATAATATAACAATAGGGTAAGGTGACCACTGGTTTCTTTCTTGATGTGTATAACATAAGGTTACCTCTGGTCCCCCTAATTACTTTCACGTTTCTGCTAATATATATATATATTAGAAAGTAGATCTGTATAAAGTTAAAAATATGATTATTTTGGAGTAAGACAAAGAAAACTGTCTATCATATAAAATTCAATTAATATATAAGGTGACCTGAGGTCTTCGTATTGATATCGATGAATTTACTTTTGTGCCTTTAAAGGTACTTAGAACAGATTTGAAATTATTATTTTCTCTATAATATTACGACTTATATATTTTAATAGCATTTCACACAAAAATTAATTAAAAATCTTATTTCGTTTAAAAGATATTGAAATTTCAAATTTTTCGGCGGGTTTGATTGACATATCGTTGCACTCTCACAAAGTTAATTTTATTCTTAAAGTAATCCTTAGGAAAAGTGGCAATCTCGTCTTGTATAAATGAAAAATATTAACGTTCGAAAGCAAAACAAACACACAATATATTGTCGATCAGTCCGTGCAGTTGTGGTAAGCAGACTGTGACGATTGAACACACCCGGTGAATTCTAAATATAAACAATAACATAACTCTTGCCCTGTTTACAAAAACTGTGTACATAACACGAGTGTGCTCGATTTGCTAAACTCTGCACGCATCTCTTAGTTCGGAATGACGATACTTGTGAAGGTGTTTTGCTTTCTAACATTTCTACTCTGAATAAAATTATTTTTCTTGATAAAGGTTTTAATATTTCTCATTAAAACACATCAAAAATGCCACTTTTCCTAAGGATTAAGAATAAAGTTCAAAATTGTGAAAGTGCAAGGATGTGTCAATCAAACCCGCCAAAAAATTTAAAGTTTTAATAACTTTTAAACGAAATAAGATTTTTAATTAATTTTTGTGTGAAATGCTATTAAAATAAATAATTCGTGATATTATACAGAAAAAATAAGAAAATATTAACTTCAAATCTGTGTCCAAGTACCTTTAATGCCTGAAGAGTTCCTTAAATGCTTTATTACTACGCAAAATGACGAACTATTTGCGGGGGATCCGAGGTCCTAGTTGAGCGTACGTTTTATCCTTCTGCAATACGAAAACGATAGATCACATAAGCTATGTCCACTGGGTAAAGGGGTAAATATGGGATAAAGAAAAATGTCTAATATGTCTTAAAGTCTATGTCCAATATTAGTTGCAGCTCTGCAGCTATGTCCATTGTCTATATTTAATGCCATACGATTGAGCCTTGGGTACGACCTAACTCCAGTTTTGGCACGACTCGGTTTGGGTACGAGTTGACTCGATACCGCCTCCATCATGATGGACAACAGGAAAAGGCATACTGCAGTCCTTTTGATGTTAATCTTCTGTGTTACTTGTACAAGTAAGTAATGACTGTTATAAACCCAAAGGTAGACTTGGGGGTGGGATGTGATTTTTACCACTTCTGCTGAGAAATGGCTTTCAATTACAGGGTTCCATGTTCGTTCGCCCAAAAAATGTTCCCCCGATATCCCGTTCGCCCGTTTTTCGTTCGCCCGATTTCTAGTTCGCACAGGGTCCTTCGCACAGGGTCCGTTCGCCCAAATTTTATATAATATAATATAATGAATTTCTTTTTACATTTTTGGTACATTCGAAATAATACTGACTGATTGTGCATACATACATACATACATACATACATATATATATATATATATATATATATCGTCTCGTATCCTATTTTCGACCGTATTGTATTTTCGACCTATTTTTCCCAATCTGCTTCCCGTTCCGATTCCGCGCGGTAGAACATTATTTTCGGTTGCTACACTTGGAAAAATATCTTTGAAGCACAACTGTAGTGAAAATACCCAAAATAATTAATTCAACGGATTTTCCCCGATGGTTTTAGTCCGATGTCAGAAATTCTAGTCTTTTTACTAATGCACATTTTATCTGTTGATTAATCAAAGCCGTAATCGTTTAATTACAAAGATTTTTTGATGACATTTTTCCGAAAGAAAATTAAGATCTCTGTCAAAAAGACGCATGAATATTGTAATGAATGGGTGGATCAAACAAATTTTTTTCTTCCTTAAATATGGGCATTTTCTTACAGATTTTTTCTAAAAAATACAATGTAATTTCATTGATTTATTTTTGGAAATGCACAGATACTGACACATGGGTTTAACCAACGAATAAATGTATTTGCAACCAAAATATGCAACTTGTTCAAATTTTTTTTGAAAGACAGACAATCGTATTTTTATTGTTTGGAATATCCAATGGATATTTATAGCCAATACTGATTAGGCGTTGTTACTATATTTAGGTCGAAAACACAAGACGCTAATATTTTTCTAAGGAAAACTGCGCCCTCTCCATATTATGGCATATAAATAAAATAAACACAAAACGGCAAGCTGGGTTATATCATTTTATTTATAGACACATATGCTAAAATTTTAAGCCCATTTTTTTTTTAGATTCTATAACTTTTGCAATAAATTAATAAATAACATCTTAATAGGTCGAAAATACAATACGCCAGGATATATATATATATATATATATATATATATATATATATATATATATATATATATATATATATATATATATAAGCACTAAAAAACCAACAACACTGTATATCCTAAATGTCGGATCTACCAATTAGATACAAGGTCACGGATGGAAATTTATATAAAGCACTAAAAATGACCAACGACACGAACAATAAAAATTGTCAAATTTTCGGGACGCCCTGTCCCTTCCTCATTTTTCTTTGATTATTCTTTATTAAGTAAAGTTACGCCATTTTGAGAGAATGAAACAATGTACGATTTACTGATTGTCGTAATTAATTAGCATAATTGATTCGTTCAATTATGTAAATCGCACTTCACCCGAGTATACCCGATAGACCGGACGCATTTCATAGCGGTCCGGATTTCTTTCTTTATTAGTGTTCTTAAAAATTTCCAATTCAAGGCCAAAAAAAATTAATAAATTGTTTCTCAGGCACCGCCGCATCGGTAAAATCAGAGCCGCATCAACTTTTTTTACCATTATATTTTTTCCGGAATTTTCGTATCTTATCGTTATAGGTTTTTTCTTTTATCCAAACAATAACAAACGCTTAAGTGACTCGGAATAAAATGAAAGTCTATGTCAATAAAAACGTGATTTTTCGCGGGATATATCGATCATGTCGCTGTTATCAGCTCAGATTGTGAGTGGAACGTCCATAATATTACCATGGAGTATAATTGGGGGGTATAGCGACAGTTGTTCAGTGGGGGAATTTTACGAAGACCTGAAACGTGGCAAGTTGGACTTGGAATTTTTCACTTTCCCAGAAAAGTTGTTAATCCCCTTGTACTGTAGAAGTCGGTCGCTCTAAAACAGATTCATTTGATCGTGTTATGCCTTCAGTGCGCTTATCAGAAGTAGTGTCTCTATTCGGACGTTACATAAGATTTACAGTAAGTATTGGTTCAGAAAATAAATTTTTGTTCTGAAGTTTAGAATGATAATGTACAGTACATACATTTATCAAAACAGTTTGCTCTAACTTTGTAGGCCAGAGTTAAAAGCCTTTTTAGAACATTGTACTACATCCAGGTCTTACTCCTTTTGCATTAAAAAATGTGCTGATCCAAGTTGTTCCATCTGTACTAGGCCACGCTTGCCTCCTGAGGTTTTTGAGCAGTTACATCGATTTCCAGACCCAATACTGAGTACCTGGTACCGTATTTAAAGTTTCAGCTTATGATATATGTGTATTTTCAAATAATTTTTATAGAAAATAAAGATCAGTATAGAGAGATATTTGAAATATGAATAGAATAATACATGAAATACAAGTTACAGATTTCAATTTTAAAAAGGATACTTTTTTAAATAGGTGAAGATGGGCACTACAAGTCATTTGATGAAGTTTATGGTAGTGAAACTACGGAGGAGCACAGGCCATCTCTTCAGCGAAGGGCTACAGCGAATCCAGGTCATGGGATACCATTTTCCCCAAGTGTGCAAGCAGCAAAAACAGTAAAGTGTGTGTTTATTTGTACAGAATGTGAAAAACCTTGTGTAGTATATGCTGCTAACAAATTGTCAGAGCAGGAAATGGCCACTATAGAGCGCATTCAGCAGTTAATTCAATATACGTGTGGGTCATCCCTGCAAGAACTTAAGACTGCCGATAACAGAACACCACAAGTGAATGCTTTATTAGACAAATGTTTCACCAGGGCCAACTCAACATGTGAAATGTCATTAGAAGTTCCATATTTCAGTTCAGGATGTTTCAAGGACTTGTGTTTTCACTGTGGTGAGGAAGATGAGCTGCAAATGAAGCAGGGGCATATCCCATGTGTCTTAATTGTTCCTCTACAAAAACTCTTCCTTTGAAAAGGAAACATGTTAATCTTAAAGAAACTGTTAAAACAAAGACAAGAAGGAAATAAACTGTGCTTTTGTATTTGATTAATGAATATGCTATTAAATACACAATAAAAAAGTAACACAACAAGCTATTTCTAAATTTGATGCCTTTATTTGAAATTTATTAAAAAAAAAAAAAAAAAAAAAAAAAAAACCTGCCTGCCTCATCAAAATTTTAAAAATTTGGCCCGAGAAACAATTAATTAATTTTTTTTGGCCTAACATGTAATTAAGTATGTAAATATCTAGTGTTTAGTAGTTTAGTAGTAGTCCTAGTTGTTTTTGTTTCTCTTTTTCCTTTGTTCTTATGACTTTTTAACTTTTTTCTTTGTCCTGAGGAAGGGACAGGGCGTCCCGAAAATTTGACAATTTTTATTGTTCGTGTCGTTGGTCATTTTTAGTTCTTTATATATATATATATATATATATATATATATATATATATATATATATATATATATATATATATGTCACATAGGGTCAATCAAAGACCTGACAGGCCTGTTTGGAAATGTTGCCAAAATGGTATGTATAATTTGTATAAGATAAATTTTATGAGTTTTCTGAGTATTTTTACTTAAATAAACCTATAAAAGTAACATAGTTATAAATAATTCAATATTTTGACTCAAATATTTCCTTAAAATATAAAAGGTAAAACCTTCAGGATCCGCTGCTCAGTTCTATAAGGGATCTATTAACGTCTCAGTCCCTTTATTGTTGTCAAAACATAACCCAATTCGTAAAAACAACACGGGTGTATCCCCCCAATTAACATTGATATTAGTCATCTAATTAACTATAGTGCAAACACTTAATCATTAATAAATGCATTAGAATCAAATCAAAAATTGATTAAGACTAAATAAACATTGTTCCTGGTTTGAGATAAAAAAAAAAAAATAGGAAAAGGAAATAAAGGAAATGAAAATATATGTTAATCTTTATTTCAAATAAGTTAATATATATAAGTATATATAATATAATATATAAGTATTTGGCGAAACTTTTGTAGGGCGAACAAGATTTTGGGCGAAGAAATTTTTGGGCGAACGGAACCTGCGAGAACGGACTCCCGCGAACAGGCAGATCGGGTGAACGAACCTGTTACTCAATTACAGAAACTTGACAGTTACAGAGTAAAGAACATCTCTGTTCTTCAGTCTTCCTGCCTTACCAGCTAAAAATGCAGTTAAACATAATAAATAAGATTAATATTTAGTAAAAATGTTGCATGGGTTGATTTCGACCGGCCTTGGGGTATTTTAGCATAAAAAAAAAAGATAACTCATGCATTGCAAATTTTATAAACATGATGAATCAATGTCAGACACCTCGGCCTAGTTATAGCAATGCTCATGAAAGTTTAAGTATCAAATTATCTTTAAATAAATTATATATTTAACATTGCCTATTATTACTGATTACAAAACACCAACAGTTTTTAATCTATCTTGAAAATTAAGAAAGATAGAGCATATTAAACATTGGTACCCTCACATATTTTTTTAACTCAATTTTCATGTTTGAGTAAAAAGTGACCCCTTTAAATACTTGATTAAATTTCATGATTTTTGGTTGATATACAGTTAATATGTGTTTAGGGATGACTAAAAAAGAATACTGAAGAAACAGGAAGGGGTTTTAATATTACAGGAAGTGTATATTTAGTATTGAAGACACCTACCCTATGAATTTTAACCCACATTTTCTCTTACGTGTGTATGAAAGTGTACATGAATATGTCTTTTATTTTCTACTTAATATGTTGGACATAAAATAAGAACATGAAACATAGAAGATTTATAAGGTTAAAAAAAAAAATATGTTTGTTTCCTGTAACATTCCCAAAAAATTTAGGGTCGGTAGGTCGGGAATCCTTTTTTTTTTTTTTTTTTTTTTGCTTATGAATGGTCAAACATCCCCGGACTGAATATACCAGGTGTCATGTTTACAGTGGACACCCAACATGGCATCCAAATGGCTGCCAAGCGACAGAAAACGAACTTCAGAAAGTTGTAGGGGGAAATTGTTGTTACAATAATGATTACCACTTATATTTAAGGTAAATGTAAACTAGGTTGACATATTTTATGTCTCAAGTTAAGCTACAAGCTATTTTTCTTTTAAAATAAATGGAATCAGCTGATTGATCAAACGCAGTTTTGCCATTTGTCAGGAAAAAAAATTCACCCGGGGATAATTTGAAAGGGTTGATCGGGTTACAGGAAACAAACATTTTTTTTTTTTTAGGCCTTATTAACAATAAATGAGTGTTGCTATCAATATGCTGAAAATTATTACAAAAAATATATATAGATTAATATTAATTAAATTATATGGATTTATATAAAATCAGATTTTTTGTCATTTCTCAAAAACTTGATCCAGCATTAAATAAATAAATAAAATCCCTTTCAATTAATATATAATTAATATATCAAAATGGAAATATGTATTGATGTTATATTCCCCACCTAAAGTAGTTTTCACTTGCGATTTTTTTATACAAACAAAGAAATTCCTGGGAAAATTCTTTCGATTTCTCTCGGTTTTGTTCATTGGGCTTCTGTTGCGATCATTGTCATTTGAATGTTTGGAGTAATAAGGGGAAAACATGGGTATGAAATATATCTACACAACGCGGACATATTGGGTATGCTACGTAAATAAACGAACCGCAGCGCCACCTATGATCATGAGCATTGCTACTAGTTAGAATAATCTAACTGTGTCTCGGTACAAGCCCTCAACACAGTTAGAATACGTCCCATATACTTGCAATGTAGCAAATCGGAGTGGATCTGCTCTGAAACGATTTTGAAGAATATTAAAGTATTTTCACTGGAAATAACTACCAAATCAATCAAAACAAACCTTTTTTGAGATTGCTTATGCTTTTTATTCCAAAAAATAATCCATATAAATACGAAAATCTAATTAATCTTCTTAACATTTTTCTCTCGCTTCAAATTTACTTGCCATGTTTACAGACCCTGAGACGTGCTACTACCCCAAAAAAGCGTGTAACTTTCGTGCGCTTTCCGTTTCGTGCAAACCGTGTAGCGTTTCGTGTAAACCGTGCAGCGTTTCGTGCAAACCGTGTAGCGTTTCGTGTAAACCGTGCAGCGTTTCGTGTAAGCTCCAAAGCGTTTCGTGCAAACCGTGTAGCGAGCGTGCGAGAACCGTGTGAGAAACGTGCGACTTTCGTGTAAGAATCGTGTGAGAAACGTGTGACTTTCGTGCAGGAATCGTGTAAGATTCATTCGGAAGTCATTTCATTTTAAATCTTGCTATCGATGGCTCAGGATGTCAAATTGTATTAGTATTTTATTATTGAATTAGTTATGATTGTGATATTTTTGGATTAAAATAAAATGGAACAACAAAACGAAATTACATGGTAATGTATAATATACAATGTATATTTGTTTGTTTTCTTGTCCTTCTAAAGAAAATGTGTTCAAATTAATCAACTTTGTACAACAATTTGAAGGGCATTGAATTCAATATACTATCAAAGCGATCATGGATTCTTAAATATTTTTTTTTCTTAAAGAAAGAAAGAAATGCCGGTATATATTTTGATTTAAAACAAAAATATATTAGGACTCCGCTCTTGTCTTTACACTTAAAGTAATTGAATGAAAGTTTTGAAAAGATGTGTAATTTAATACCTTTTAATACATAAGATTTATTGCTCATTATTGTTAAATAAATGGATTATAATCTTTATTCACATGCCATGACGACGACATGTTTAGAAACGGGGGGGGGGTGTTACATTAAATTACTAATAGATTCTTTCATTTTTTGTTGTTGTTGTAACTTTGAAGTGTTTGAATAATTATTAATTTTATTTTCTTTTTAAAACCCTTTGTAAAATGTGTGCACAGATACACCCCTTAAAATATATTGGAATTTTCTTTCCGTCGTTTATTCAACTGTGATCAAGGTCGTTTACAACAGCGATCACGGGCTCTGAGTCCATGCCATTGAAAACCTGTTTTGCCATATATACATCTTGAGTTCACGGCTTAATGACACCTGAAAATTACGACTGGGTTAAATTTTTTGAAATAAAATAATTCTACAAGAAACATATTGACGCAAGCGTCAAAAATCGGCCGCAAACAAATTACTAGTAATTATTCCTTTGATAAAGTAATTCGAAACTGAAATTTGCGTGATCTGTTTTTAAAATTTCTTATATCTATCTGTTAAAATATCCTCGTAACATGAAATACTTGCATGAGACATTGTCGATTTTCTTCATACAAAATACATGTACAATATTATATGTGTAAGCAAACTGCCCATAGACCTCTGCGTCCGTACAAACGAATTTGATGTTTAAGTAATTATTACATAAAAGTACAAAACTAAAGTTTAAACTTAGCTATACATGTAGTTTTACTTTAATTTGAACGGAACAAATATGAAACAACCCCCCAAATCCATCTACAGAAAGATCCACCACTACATTTCTTGGTGTTGAGATGTGGCGGGAAAATGCTTGGCACATTGTAAAAACGCGCTTTACCCTAGTCTCATGGACAAAATTGTCAAATGGTTCTGTGCTTTTAAGAAATCAATATTTCATAAAATTTTTGAAAAATTTCCATAGGAAATGTATAAATATACACGGCATTTTAAAATAAGTACAACAAATCCTGTCTAGGCTGTTTAAAAAGAGAAAGTAAAATTGTTGATATACAATGTGGTCTTTGTTTTAGCTTATGCCTACATAAGACACTTCGTGCTAGTTTTCTCCGCACTTCAGTATTGTCAGAGTTTGTCAATCAGGATTGGATGAAATATTTACCCAATTATTTATAAAAATTTTATTTTATGATTATTGTGCTTTTTGTTAAACATTTAGAATATCTTTGTTCAATATTCTATACTATGAATGTTATTAAATATTTTTATTCAAATTGTTCTAACTCCGCAGAAACGCACGGCGACTTAAAACTTTCATATCAACTAACCGACCGCCTCCTGGCGGCCGGTAATAAATATTTATGGGTACAACTTATATATTAGCGGATTTAATCTTTTATTTGTAAATCCAAATTTCTAGCCGTAAATAGTAAAATAAACAGAACTGATTTTGTAGTCCTTCATGAATATCATGTAAGAAAAGTTTAGGAGTGAATCTTGAATAATTGTATATTATTTGTTTTATAATCACGTACTTTTTTATCTAAGACATTTCAGT